TTTGTAGTTCGTATTGCTAACGAATAATAATTTGAGAAGTAAAAAAATAATAAAGATATTTTATAATTATAAAAGTGAATAAAATTTTGAGATTAAATTTTCCAAATTTGTAGTTCGTATTGCTAGCGAATAATAATTTGAGAAGTAAAAAAATAATAAAGATATTTTATAATTATAAAAGTGAATAGAAATTTTGAGATTAAATTTTCCAAATTTGTAGTTCGTATTGCTAACGAATAATAATTTAAGAAGTAAAAAAATAATAAAGATATTTTATAATTATAAAAGTGAATAGAAATTTTGAGATTAAATTTTCCAAATTTGTAGTTCGTATTGCTAACGAATAATAATTTAAGATTATAATCAAACAAAAATTTTCATTAACACAAAAAATGACAATATTTTAAACTTTGAAGTATAAGAAAAATAATTTTAGTGTAAAAAAAAGTCTTATTGCATACTAAAATTATTTCAATTAAATTAATATTTATGAAAAAAATTTAATATATAAAAATAAATAATGGAAAATAATTCTATAACTGAGGAAGTAGGTGAAATTGTGATAGAGGGTGCAACTGAGGAACAAAGAAAAGCTGTAGAATATATTAATAGGCTCAAAAAAGCAGAATTAGAAGCTGAACTTGAAAAAAGAAATCTACCAATAACAGGGCGAGTATCGGAATTAAGAACAAAACTACTTTTACAAGTATTAGCGAAAGAAAAAGAGAAAGAAACCTACCCTAACCAATCTATTAACACAACAAAACCTATAATAAATAAAATTTTTATGGATAATACAAAAAAACCTTATTTCAACCCAAACACTTTTTCAGGGGGTATAAATGAGAGAGTAGACACTTTCTTAAAAACTTTTAATAGAGCAGCATCAATTAATAACTGGTCAGAGGAGGATAAGCCAAAATACTTAGTAGCCTTCTTACAAGGATCTGCATTAACATTTTATGATAACATAGAATCAAAAAATTTATCCTGGAATGAACTAGAAAAAAGACTAAGAGAGGAATTTGAACCTATAGCCCAGAATGATATGTTACGTATATTATTGGAAAGAAGGAAACAAATGGATGATGAACAGACAGTAGTTTTTATAAATGACTCAGTAGCTTTATGTAAAAGAATAGATAACAATATGCCAGAGGAAGAGGTAGTAAGAAATGTAATGAAAGGTTTAAAACCCAACATTGCGAGATACATAGGCATTCTTGAAAATCGTAACATTGATGAATTAAAAAAAAACATACAAAAATATGAAATGTTAGAATTTATGATTACGGGCGACTCGTATAAAAGTCCCTCGGAAATTAAACAATCAATTATTACTGAAAAAATTAACAAAATAACTAAAATCACTGACGAGGACAATATACAAAAACTTAACAATAAAATCACATCTATAGAACAAAATTTACAAAATTTTAACGAATACATCAACTTTACAAACAGCAACAACCAACTTTATAACAATAAGCAACATAACAAGTAGTGATGAGCAAAACAAGAACAAGACCAAGACTGTCAAAGTCTTGGTCATAGTCTTGTTCTTGATAGCTCAGTCTTGGTCTTGGTCTTGCTTTGCTAACTCAGTCTTGGTCTTGGTTTTGGTCTTGCAAATCTAGTCTTGTTCTTGTTCTTGGTCTTGCTTTGCTAACTCAGTCTTGGTCTTGGTTTTGGTCTTGCAAATCTAGTCTTGTTCTTGTTCTTGGTCTTGCTTTGCTAACTCAGTCTTGGTCTTGGTTTTGGTCTTGCAAATCTAGTCTTGTTCTTGTTCTTGGTCTTGCTTATAAAATCTTGTTCTTGTTGTGAGTCTTGTCACAATACTCTTGCAAAATCTTGCATTCATTTATATTTGTAAAAATTTTCTACTTAAAAGGTTTAAATAACGAAGTTATCTACTTCAGTTTGTAAATTCAAATTTAATTTATATGCCATAGGATTTTTAAGTTAGAACTTAATATTAGCATAAACAATATGGATGATTTTTTTATGAATAGTTTGGGGTATTAAAAAAAAATAAACAAATAAATTAAATTATAAAAAAATAAGACGTTATTGAAACAAAGTATTTTTTCACTTTAAACTGATGGCGTAATATTGTCCGAATGGTAACGCAGCGGATGTGCGGTCGGGGAGGACGCGATTTCGATTCTCCTAGTCGGATAATTTTTTTTGCATTTTAATTAATTTTTTTCATTGAATAATGAACATGAATATATTTATTTTATGAGTTTACCAGTCGCCGGTTTTATGTATCGATTTTTAAAACCGGTTTTAAATAATAATCGCTTTCTGTTCATAGACACAGTTTTTAAAAATTATTGGTTTTGATTAACAAAACCGAAAAAAACTGTTATAACCAGTTTTTATAAAACCAGTTTCAGTCTCCGCTTTAGAAGTAAACAAAAATTTTATCTAATTTTATCATAATGTTTGAAGCACGGAATATTTATTTTTAATCTTCTTTAATTATTTAAAATTAATTAATTACAATTGAATGACAATAAATTTTGAAACATGATTGTAAAATTTTAAGTTAATCGGTAACATCAGCTCATAGGTAATATTTAATTTGAACAATACGCGTAATGAATAAAAATCAAAGTAAAATTTAATATTGTCGAATCTGTCATTAATAATCTTAACGATTTTAACCAACAACATTTTTTTTTTTTTTTGCAAGAGTGCAATACTCTTGCAGTTTTATTCTTGTTGTTGCAAGATTCTTGCATTTTGAGTCTTGGTCTTGGTCTTGTTCTTGCAAGTCTAGTCTTGTTCTTGTTCTTGGTCTTGCTAAAAAAGTCTTGGTCTTGTTCTTGTCAATTGAGTACAGTCTTGATGTTGGTCTTGCTGATATTATTACAGTCTTGGTCTTGTTCTTGGTTTCGTAGAAATGCAAGACCAAGCCAAGACCGCAAGAACAAGAGTAATTCTGCTCATCACTAATAACAAGGAGTCCCCTTATAATCAATATGAACCTAATTTTAATCATAACTTTCAAAATAACCACTCTTTTATGAATAAACAAATTCCAAACAATTCTAACCAAAATTTTCAAAACAATTATTCTTTCATGAACAAACAACATGAACACAATCTTAATCACAACTTTTATAATAATCACTCATTTATGAATAAACAATTTCAAAATAGTTATTCACCACAAAAAAGAAATAACGGGTCGTATAATTATCAAAATACTTCTTATCCTAAACATGAAAGAGACATTAGAAACCAATCGTATAACAATTATTGCAACACTAATAACAATACGTTACAAAAACAATTCCCAATTTTCACAAATACTAACAGAAATTTTAACAATTATAACACAATACAAGACAACTTCAAAATGAACAAAACACAACACAATAATTACAAGAAATATAGCGACAATTATCAATATCCCATAAAAAATAGCACAAACAATATCAAGTGTGCCATTTGCGCAAAGTCTAATCATAAAACACATGAATGTTTTTACAAAGATGCTAAAATTATATGCCAATTATGTTCTAAAATAGGACACTCAGCGTTAAATTGCACTAATCAGTCAAAAAACGCACATTTAGGTTAAACGATCATGCTGAAACAAACAGTTCACCTTTTCATTCAGCATATAACAATATTAATAACATAACACTAACACTTACTCCTATTGCTTTACACTTCTATGCTTTTTAACAATATAACAATACCAATAACCATTGACACTGGATCAAACATATGTTGTATCACACATAATTTAATACCAAAAGACAAATTAATAGAAACATGCACTTTACAAATAGGAGGTCCAGATAATACACCATTAAAAGTTTTAGGGGTAACTTCTATTATTATCTCTGCAAATTCTATAGATTATAATGTAACGGTATACGTGGTTGAAAATCTATCTTGCCTTATACTTCTGGGCAATGATTTTCTAGAACAAAATAACAGTATCATAGATTTTGATAATCAAATAATAATATTAAATAACAACAACATAATAACAACACATCTTTCATGTCAACAAAACATAAATCAACTGAATACCAACGTCATCGAAAAAACAATAGACTTATTCGAAACACATGAAAAATATTCAATTGCACATTGTATTTCAGCTGACCTAAAAATGAGTAAAGGTATAGCATTGGATATATGCAAAAAATACGGAAATTTGACTTCATCATTACTACAATCAAATCCACAAATAGGAGATGCTATTCCACTTGTTGTCAATAAAAGAGTTATTTACTTCTTAATAACAAAAAATTATTATTTTGAAAAACCACAATATGATGACATCAAAAAAACTCTAGAAAATTTAAAATTACAAATGATAAAACACCATGATACAGACATTGCAATACCAAAGATATCAAATGGATTAGATAAAAAAGACTGGACAATCATTAAACAAATAATTATTTCAATATTTAAAAATACTAGTATCAATATACTCATATGTCACAAAGAAAACACATACTGTGCAAATAAATCTCAAGTCAATGCTGTAACATTATTCCCTGAAGATAATCAAAATTTGGACAACTCACAAAAAAACATGGTTACATTATTTTCAGAAAACAATCAAAATACCACAAACCAAGAAAAAAATAATTTTTTGAAAGTTTTTGAAAAACATAAAAAAGGAGAAAATCCACCTAAAAATGGGGCCTGTGGATTAATAGCAATATGTAACGCATTAAACTCTGATAAAAGCCAAAGAATAACTTCCATTTCAGAACTTCTTGAGCTTCTAAACTTAAATGAATTACCAAATTACTGGTTCAGCGACCAAGAGCTTGCTTCCATTGCAGCATACTACAATTTTGATACATACATATATGATGATAAGAACAAAACTGGAATAATTTATGGTTTAGGAAATCAACCTCCAGTTGTCCTATACAATGTAGACAACAATACACATTGGGTTCCAGGCATTCTAACTAACAAAATATCAAAACACGTTCCCACAAGTTACGTGAACTTTACAGAAATTGATCCAATAAATAAAATAAAAGAAACTTTATCCAAGCTTTTTCACAACAAAAATTCTTCATCACCTAAAAACAATTCCATTAAAGAAATAACTAATCATATAATTAACAATATAAATCTTAACACTAACACAGATTTAGAAACAAACAAGAAATACGTCACAGATATGGAGGACATACCAATCAACATTTCCCAACACTTATCTGTATCTGAACATAATCAAGTTGCTAACCTACTTGAACGATACAAACATTTATTTGTTAATGACAATGCAAAAATAAAGGCAGCAAATGTAACGCCTTGTGAAATAAAATTAAAACCCAACTCCACAGATCCAAAATTTACTGCACCTCACAGAATATCACCTCAACAAAGACAAGAATTAAAAAATCAGTTAGATAAACTTTTAGAAGCTAACATAATAAAGCCAATCACATCAAACTTTGGAGCACCTGCATTTTTAGTAAGTAAAAAAGAAAAAAATTCTCATCGCCTAGTGGTATCATACAAAGAATTAAATGATAGGGTACAAACCGACTTATATCCTATTCCAAGAACTTCAGACCTACTGAGAGCATTAGAAAACTCACAATACTTCAACTTACTCGATTTTAATTCAGCCTTTTTTCAAATACCTGTTAAAATCTCTGATCAATATAAATTAGCATTTACATCAGCACTTGGACTTTTTACTTTTACAAGATTACCTGAAGGTTTTAAAAACAGCAGTGCTATCTTTCAAAGAAAACTCAATGAAATTTTTTCACCTTTATTATATAAATCTTTAATCATATATATAGATGATTTAACTTCATATGGAAAATACATTAAAGACACTCTTATTTGCAATACACCTATGATCCAAACAGAACACCCAATGCTACTTATCCTCGTGAATGAAAATCATATAAACAGCATAAAATCAAGAGCTCCCTCACCACACAATACCGACTTAATAGCATACGTAAACACAAAATTTGTCTGGCTAGCTCATCATATGGCCACAACACTATCAGAATTATATACCGACATTACTTTAAAACAATGTTTACAAGAACGAAATTTACTACTTCATAAATTGTCATTAGCTTCATATAGCCTAACAGAATTTGCATATTCAATATGTAACAACCCAGGATGTATGGCAATCATAAGCGGTGAAATCATTTATCTTATTAAATGCAAACCAGTACAAGTTCAAATAGCAAAAAAGGAATCATGTTATCATAAACTACCTGTCATCTATCAAAACAATACATATTTTATGCTACCTAAAACTCATACACTACAAAGATTTGGTACTCAAATAACATGTAACACATTATTACCTTCAGCATATCTTCTCGATGAAAACTGGTTTGGTCTAACTCCACAATTAATTGATGTAAAAGCACCACAAATTTTAAAACCTAACACTAAATTCACTTGGAATTATAAATCTCCTGATCATCTCATATCAGCAGGAATATATAATAAAGAAACAATGACTGCCTTTCAAAAACACTTGATGTTTCCACACGAAGCGACAGCAATTCAAAACAACATAGTACGACAAACATTAGGTTATGATATGGCTGACCAAAAATTAAATCTTTACAGACTAATCGACCCGAACACAATAAGTAATTTAGTAGAAAATAAAATATATCAAATGTGGGGCTGGTTTACCTACTTCGGCTCACTAATGTCAGGTATACTAGGAATAGTTTTCACTTTCAAAATCATCTCTACAACTATAAATGCATTCATGAACGTAACCCTACTTTACAATACGTTCGGATGGAGTGTAAGAATATTGGGAGGATTATTTAATAATATCACTCATCATTTAATGCATAAACATCATCAACAAAACAATAACATGAATAAAGCTGAAATGGTGAACATTAAAAATACAACAAAAAATGATACGCCAACAAGAATTTCTATTCAACCTGCCTTTTATCCTACATTACAAACTCAATAAATTCAGAAATTCAGAATAATCAAGCATACTATCCTACGGGACGNTATAAGAATTAATAACGTGTTGTAAAAATACGACGCTACTAAATACGTTATAAACTACTATCAAATCATACAACTCAAAACACTATAACAATTACTGCACTTATACACATACTTTATCATAATAATCACTAAACTAATAAATATCATAATGAATAGTAGATTATATCCATATTTATTATATGTATTTTACATTATTTATCAATATACCATGCTTTATTATTCATTAACATAAAATATTTACTCATATATGTCATTCTTATAACAATAGTTAGAAATGGATATTCATCCAAAATTACTCATTATTTATTAACTATATCTTTTATATATTCATCATTATTATTATTATTATTATTATTATTATTATTATCATCATTATTATTATTATCATTATTAATATCATTATTATTATTATCATTATTATTATTATTATTATTATTATTATTATTATTATTATTATTATTATCATCATTATTATAATTATCATTATTAATATCATTATTATTATTATTATTATTATTATTANCCGATATATATATAGCTCCGATAAGGCTCTCGCTAATTCTAGAATATTCTATACCCGCGTAGGTTATCTTATGGCGTTATCGAAGTTTCTCGAAGGTTTTTGATAACGAGAACATTCGAGAATATTCGTTGCGTATGTTTTGGTCGCTACAATATCATAATCACATTAATCAAATTATTATTATCATTTTATTCATGATTTAAATTTTTACTTATTCAATATTTACTATTTTTATATTTAAGCCATAAACATTTTTTTTCTCGATCATAACGAATACACACCATGCTCTCTTACAGATCATTTCAAACAGAAATACGTTATAATTCTTAGACATGTTCCCTATATCAATTTTTACCATATAACATTAACTTTCATTTCACCTTTCTAATCCGCTATTGTATTTCAGTTGTGAGNCTTTCTAATCCGCTATTGTATTTCAGTTGTGAGGACACAACATTTAAAAAAATCAGGGCGGATGTCGTAATATAATCGTCACTATTATTTTTATACGAGACAACATTAAAATAACCTGTTCATACTCAACAATGTTATCTTTTTAGTTTTTATTAGTATATATTTTTTTCATTTCAAATAGTCACCACTTCTATGGATAGAAG